TATTTAGAGACTATGCAGATTATTGAAAGTGTTTTGGAAAGCCCTATTGGTTGGCTGGACCATAGGTTATCGACTTTTAACCTTGACTTCATGACCTTCCTATTAGTGTTTCCTCTCTGTGTCATGTACTGTAAAGCAGAGTGGAGTCTGAGTCCGGCGGTGACCTCATATGAACACCTGTTGAAAGGTAAAACTGACTGTTTGGCTGAAATGAGACACAAAGGAAGCACTGTGATTAAAACTGAAGCCATGATGTCCTTGAAGAAGCCCAAGGTGAAAGTGACACAACACACCTTACAGTCATACAAAACACACAACCATTAACAGACCCTCAGAGGGCGGATTCATTAGGGAATATTAGGCTGTAAATCGGAAAAACAGTCAAACTATCCTGCTGCCTCACACTCCTAGTAGTTACCATACAATACACACTGTTGTCCACCTACTTCATTCAAAAAGATATTTTAAAAAGAATGAAAACCAAAAAAGGAAAATTCAGTCTACCTATAATAAATTGATCTTTATTGATACATTATAATCCTGCAAGTAATCCCTGTTTTGAAAAAATGTAACAGTAATCTGATTATGTAATGTAACTGTAAGGGAATACAGTTACTTTTTTTTGTATCCTGATGAAGTAATCTTGGTCAATGTAATCCGTTACTCCCTAAGCCTGTGTACCGTACAGGGCTTAATCTGTTTAACCAACAGAGGAGATGTGATGATTGTGACGACAGAGAAGTCATTGTTACGGATCACATATCTGTTGCACTATAGTGTCAACAAACAGGAGGACAGCCCCCCCGCCCCCCAGCCTGCCCTTCACCTTTCTACTCAACTGTTACTACAAACACGCTGCAGCATGTCACTACACAGAGGTGGAAGAACTACTCATATCGTTAATGTCAAAACAACCCGTATGAATACATGGAATTAGATTAGCCGTGACATGTGAGGCGTCATCTACATGTTTTTACATCATTTGGCTACAACAATGTGTCCGACTGGTTAAAAATACAACACCATGGCAAACGTCTGGACGTATTAAAGTACAAAGGCAATTAATTGGCCAAATGATTGGGACTACGACATACATTGGTGTATAACTTCTCCAACGTATGATGGATCCACACCATATTTTGCAGTTCTGGTAAGCATTGCGTGTTGTATGTAGGCTTGTCAAAGCTGTATGCGCTTGATCGGTCTTTGAATAAATGAGATGTACTATATAAATCCAACAACAGAAGAGTTTGTGACGTTGTAGAACATCAGCCACCCTACTCTAGTATAATAGGTTGCAAACTAAAGCCACAGTCTGTTCATCCCACTGATCTCCACCATGAATACCTGACATAGCATACCTGGCACATTGCTATGCTTCCTTCTTGCCCCCCCCCCCCATTTATTCACACTATAAACCAAAGTCTCTCTAGGTATATCTGTAAAAGTGTTATTTCTTTCAGTCATATTTTATTCTATTGTAATTGAAATAAGCGTTTTTTTTGTCAACCCTTCTGTAACATGACAAATATAAGAACCTTTCTTTACTCAAGGCTGATCACATCATGAGGAGCTAAGCTATGTAACAAACCAACTTCCTTTGTGTTTCATTTTGTGTTCAGGGAATAATTAATCCTGTGAGCTGTTCATCTCAATAATGTGTGATGCAAACATTCCCTGTGACCGTGCAGGAGTCACCTTGCCCCTCTTCCTGTCTTCCGCTTTCCTCCTCTCCGCCCAGCCCCCTCCTTACTACTTCCTCTTTCTGTGTGCATGTCGACATTCACAGCACCAGACCTGCAGAGTCTGCTGAAAATCATTCTGTACGCTTGACGTGCAGCTGAGGTCGCACTGACCTCTGGAGGATTGAGACCGGGGACATCACTCATGTTCCCACAACCGCTTCTTACGGTGTGATGCAGCATTACTCTGCAGGGCTGTCCCACATGAGGAGCTGCAGTAGCTCCGCCCCCAGTAGATCACCTGAGCCGTAAACCAGGAAATAAGGACTGCGGCAAGTGCAGTGTCCTTCCAGGGCTCACCTTCAACTTTAGACCGTCTCAGCCTCACATACATTCTTTGCATACCATAAATTAGCTTCTGACAGGCAGGGTGTCATGACAATGGGTTCAGTGGACACATGTTATGTATTATCTGCTTATCTGGAAGTAAATACACAGCTACAACCCACAGTTAGACACTATTCGGAGCAGAGGTGTGCTGGGGGGCCTGAAGTGTGAGAAGTCAGAACATGAACTGGAGTTCAAGATCCTGAAATACACACACGCACACACACACACACACACACACACACACACACACACACACACACACACACACACACAGGCATTTTTCCAGCATGAAAAATGTTATTAGTAGCGACAAAACATTTCCACATAGAGGACAGAACACACACACACACACACACACACACACACACACACAGAGTCTCAGACTGCATTGAGTCCTCCAGATGTCACCATTGACGGAAAAGTACACTCACACCCAGTGGAGCCCACTCTCCTGGGGAGAGAGAGGGATTAAGCGATTAGCTCGTCCTCACTTTCATTTGCTCTCTTCTCCTCTGTTCTTACTGCTGTTCTCTGAAAAGTGCTGACAGGGACATTCTTTCAGCTCCTGCTGCACGTGCGGACACCAAGTCCGCTGCTTTCTGTCCCACATTCAGGCATGCTGCGTGATGATGAGCTCATTACACATTTAACATGTTCATTCAGTCCTTTCCTCAACAAAAATAGCCCCTACCACCTAAACTTCATGTTGTTCCATCATTCTTTCAACCTGTACACACATCTCTCTAAGAAACATGTGGCTGTTATCAAAGAGAGGTTCAGTGTTGTATCTCATAATGTCCTGGCTCTTGTGAGGCATATTTTCATGTATGTGACCTCTCAAGGTCCACTTACAAGTATTTCCGTTCAAGTCCCATTTATCAGCAAATTAAAATTGGCCAATGAAATCAAATTGTATGTAATTGATGGTTGCAGAAATATTGTTAATAACCCCTTCATTTAGATTACGTCAGTTTATTCTGTGTAGTTTGTAAACCTTTATCAAATCAGTGGGTTTTTTATGACGCACAATCCTAAATGAATGTTTTCCGCCACATCTTTCCACATTTATCCATGACGTCTTCTTTCCTTTTGTAGTGTTTGCTTTACTACGTTACTGTACATATTGTATAATCACTATGCAGTAGTGGATGCTATTTCAGGTGTGATTTATTGGAGTGAGCGTGACCTTCCCTCTGACTCGATGGATGATGTGTGTGTGTGTGAGGGAGAGAGAGAGATTGTGTTGTGGGCACATGCTGCATGTCTGCCTCCTAGTGAGTGCACACTGCACTGCATGTTTCAAGGGAACAGAATAAACTGCTTGCTGAAGTAAGTCTTATATTTGCAAAGGTTGCATTATTTGAAGTCATTTAATACTTTTTCATGCTGATGTAGAACCAAAATACTTTTTCAGATTATGTCCCTTCAAGGCACTGTATGTTTTTCCATTTGATTTGCTAAAGATACAGTTGGCTACCGATTTAACTGCGTCTGTAGGCCTACTCACAGCTAAAATAGGCCCTCTTAAAGGTCCTCTATTATCTTCTTTTTCAACAATATATAGGTTTCATATATATACAGAACATGTCTCTGAAATGTTTTGCTGAAACCCTGTCTGTTTTTAAGAGTGCGCTTAAGACCTTCCTTTTTGATAAAGCTTATAGTTAGGGCTGATTAGATTCAGCCCCTAGTTTTGCTGCTATGCTCAGACTGTCGGGGGACACCTACTTCTTCCTTCTCTCTGTCTGTACCTGTGTACTCTCATGTTCCCAATAACCCAGCTTCTCCCACATGTCTTTTTGGTGTCTATCTACGCTGGGATCCTGAGTCGTGGCTGATCCTGATTCCTGAGTCCTGCTCGAGTCGTGGCTGAACCTGTCACTGTGGTCCTGCCTGGCTCTCATCATACTACTTCCCTGATGGCTCCCACAGGATTGTTGACATCCTCGTGGATTCATCTTCTTATTATAGACACATGCATTTCCAAACATTTGGTCTACCTATGTTGTAAAATGTATTATCTTTTCGATTGACACACGACATCTACTGCACGTCTGTCCGTCCTGGGAGAGGGATCCCTCCTCTGTTGCTCTCCCTGAGGTTTCTCCTATGTTCCCCTTTAAACTGTGGGGTTTTTCCTTTTTTGGAAGTTTTTCCTTGTACGATGTGAGGGTCTAAGGACAGAGGGTGTCGTATTGTCATACTGATATTCTGTACAAACTGTGAAGTCCACTGAGACAAATGTAACATTTGTGATATTGGGCTATATAAATAAACATGAATTGATTGATTGAAACACCATTCATTCAGTCCTTTCAGATCATTGTAGCCTCCCATGAAGCCCTGTTCCAAAAGTGCTGATTCTGTGTCTGTGACTTTAAATGCTAATGAGCTGCAGCTGGCCGCGGCCCTCTGAGAGATATTTGGTTAAAAATAACACAATGGTGCTCTAGGAGGAGATTCAGGTGATAAGGTGGAAGGGTGTTACCTTGGTTGGTTATTGGCTTATGGTTGCATAAGCCAAAACACATGAGAGATGAGAACAACAGAAGTCAACAGCAGTAAGAAAGAGGAGGACGTCATTTCCAAAATGAGATTTGGTCTCAAAGGACTAAATAGCACATTATTCATTATGAAAAAAACATACATCAGGTGTAGTAGTACCGCGCACATATACTATCAGGTATATGTGAATATTGTGGCAATGACAAAACACAGACAAAATACCAGCAAGAACGTGTATTACAGTAATTTAATAATTTACTAAAGGAAGCACTGAACAGAAACCAAACAGATTGAAATGTAATAGAGATATTGCGAAGGAGTTCAGGGGAACAGCATACAGTGCTGATCCACACTCCATTCCAGAAGGTGGCGGTAAAGGTACCTAAAAGCTGCCAACTGCCGTCAAAACAACAGTAGAAGAAGGAGTGGTGGTAGTAGAAGAAGAAGAACAGCAGCAGCAGCTACATGCCTCACCAACACTTTTGAGCTTGAGAGTGAAATAAATGTGCCTATAATATATATTTAATCTCGCAGCTATGGACATAGTGGTGTACCTGATTGCTGCTGCTATCCTCATTGTGCTGATAGTGTTTGCGCTGAAGGTGCGAGGGAGCACACAAGAAGGTAAGAGACCTCCATGTTAGCTAAACACACCGGAAAGCTAACTGTCTGCTGCTAAACTAAGTGTTGCGTTTACCTTTTCATTAAACACTGCTATTCAAAATGTAATAGAGAAGAAACAGTAAGCCAAACTTCCCGCTGTAGTTACATTTACTTTGGCAACGTCAGCTCACAGCTGTCACTCCGCCATTAAGTACGGAGGCCGCAGATGGCCAACTGAAGCTGCCTTATATTCTCCTTATCTGTCCCTGAATAATAAATAATACTAGGGTAATATTTAGTTACAAGCAAAAGTCCTGCATACAAAATCTTACTTAAGTAATAGTGCAAAAATAATTTCCATCAAAAGATACTTAAAGTACCAAAAATAAAAGTAAGTATTGTGCATAACGTCCCATTTCAGAACAATTGATTTACATTGGATGATTATTAATCATGCTAATTTAATTACTTTGTATACTGCTGCTTGATATCTTAACTTATCATTTGATATCAGTGTTTTTTTTAGTATGTATTATCTTTATAATCTGAATATATAAAAGAAGTACAATATCGGCTGCCAAATGTAGTAGAGTAGAAGTACAGAGTAGCATAAAATGGAAGTATAAGCACCCCAAAATCGTCCCTAAGTACAGTACTTGAGTAAATGTACTTTCAATACCTGTGTGCCTGATCTCAGGGTATTGAATAATGTTCTGTTCTACTTTTTCATCTCTTTAAAATGTTAAATCTTCACAGTGTTAACATGCCTGATGGGTATTGCAAGGCAGTGCTTTGACGTGTGGTGTGCCCTCTCTGTTGTCAGCTGATGAGGAACAGCAGAGGGATGTGGTCCGGGCAGCGGGGCCCCGTCAGCGGGCCCCAGAGGAGCGAGGGGCCGGTATGCCTCGCAGAAGGAGGAACCTCGCCGCGTCGATGGCCAACAGACGACCACAGAGAGAAGATGTAGAAAATGGTAAACGAATCAGTATTGTAGTAATGCTAATGAGAAAACAACTATTATTGTTTCAATATGAGCTTCTTCTCAGCTTGTTTTGGAGTTCATCATATTGGACTGACTCATTCTTCATTCAAATCATTTCTCATGCTTATCTATCACACTGGAAATATGCACTTTGTTTATGATCAGAATTAATTAGTTTGCCCCAAAACTTTTGTGAAACAAAATAGACACCAGTTTAACAATGTCAATCTTTTCAAACAATGACCCTTTAAAGGTTGCGTTTTTAAAATGTAGAGGCTTATAATATAATATGTATTACTATGGAGCTAAGAACGGTTTTGTTTTTGTTTGCTTACATTGAGGGGACTTGATAGATTGCATGTAAAGTGGGAGTCAAACAAACATGTAACAAGACTGCTTTTGATTCCAGAGGAGGAGCCTGTGGAGGAAGACGAGGAAGAAGAGCAGCAGAACCTCGGGTCCACCGCCAAAGTTGGAGCCAAGAAGCAGAAGAAGCTGGAGGAGAAGCAGGCCAAGAAGGCCCAGAGAGAGGTGGGGCTCAAACTAAAAACACTAAAGCTAAAAGTTGACTATAAAACGATCCAAATGATGTTCAAAGCCGCAAATCAACAATTGTCCAGGGACTTTTCACACGGAGAGAAAACATACACATGTCGAGAGGAAACTGCATTTTCAAAAAACCACCCATACGGACTAATTCCAAACTTCATTGCATCTCAACCAAAAGGTGTTGATCTGTGTAATAACTGTAATGATGAGCTGAAATACTGTGCAACCTAAACTAAAACTCTTATTTAGAAACCAAATCCTCAATGGTTCAGGACCTGTGAACTCATGCTTGCTATTTCCTGTCGTTGTAAGGGTTATTTGTTTTTGGTTGTTTTGTAGAAAGAAATGATTTGTTTATAACGGATGACGACGACCTCAACTTTTATTTTCATGAACAATGCACGCTAGAGGGGGACCAGAAACGTTTTTAAGCTTCGTCACCACGGAAACTATTTGAGAATTTATTTTTGTATACCTTGAACATTTTTTTCTTTTGCTTCTCTTTGTTATAAGTATTATTATTATTATTATAATATGTACAGTAGAAATGAAGACATCTACAAATGTGTGTTTGCTGTGCAGCGTTGTCATCTTGTGTTCCTGTCCTCAGATGGAGCTGGAAGAGAGGGAGGAGAGGAAGAAGATGCAGGATCTCAGAGAGCAGGAGAGGCGTCAGGAGGACGAGAAAGAGCGCCAGATGGAGCACAAACAGGTCCACTAGCATTCCTCTTTCCAGCCCCCCCCTTCCTGTGTGTGGATACGAGCAGATCGTGACACCCTGTGCTGCTGTTTATTCAGGAGGAAGAGGAGCAGCGGGCTAAAGAGGAGCAGGACAAACGAGAGGAGGAGGAGTACTTAAAGCTCAAAGCCTCCTTCACCGTGGAGGAGCAGGGGGAGGAGGAGCAGCTCTCTGAAGACCAGGTGAGACACTGCTGAGCTCTCATCCTTCTCACGTTCTGGTTCTCTGTTCTAAGCAAGTCTCCATGTTCTTTACTAGTCTCGGAATCTGCTGCAAGAATTCATCCAGCACATCGAGGTGAGAGCTGCAGACCTTTTCCCAAAACAGCTGGAAGTGTCCAGTGGTTAAAGGGTTAACAGTGTCCCCCCCCCCCTCCCGCAGAGCTCCAAGGTGGTTCTCCTAGAGGACCTGGCCTCTCATTTTGGGATGAGGACGCAGGACGCCATCTGCAGACTGCAGGACCTGCTGGCTCAGGGCTCCCTGACAGGTCAGTCTGAAGCTGCACGGTAACCATAGAGACGGGAGCTTTTTATTAGGACAATCACATACAAATATTCTGGAAAATTCATTGATTGCTTTTTTTCTACATTACACCCATATTACCGCCATATTACACCGTGGTGATTCTTTTTCTTAGACCCTCATTGAGATACATGCACAGCACACACACACGACGTTAAGGCATTTCCCCCCAAATTTGAGTCATTTTTAGCAGCGTTTCTTTCTGCTTTTCTGTCATTTGATCAACCCTTAAATTGGCATTCACATATAAATACTTTAGTTTACTATATTAAATACATTAATTGATTTGTCTTTCTTACATTAAACCAGTATTACACATGAATACACCCAATTACACCATTATATACCATTATCATCTACTTTCTTTAATGCTATTTTATTCCTATTTGAGATTTTTACATTTTGGATAGTTTATTTCTAGTCTTAATTTCTCTAATGTACAATGCCTTGTCTTTTTATGCTGCTGCAACGCAAACATTTCCCAAATTGGGGTCAATAAAGTACTTCTTATCTTATCACACCAATATGACTGTTATTAGACCCATTTTACACACGGACACAGCCTGTCTGTGAAATGACCATACCTCCCAGGATACACAAACCATTCAAGGGTTAATGGGTCAGCGTACAAAAATAGTTCAATGCTGCACCACACATTGAAGTGACCTTTGATCATACTGTCTGCTCTATAACATTTTTTTCTGCAGGAGTGATAGATGACCGAGGGAAGTTCATCTCCATCACTCCAGACGAGCTGGACTCAGTGGCTCAGTTCATGAAAAAGAGAGGCAGAGTGTCCATCACAGAACTCGCTCAGGCCAGCAACTCGCTCATCAACCTGACGCCTGAGGTCCGCAGCAGCGCCTGAGGGAAGGGCCTGAGGGCCGCAGCAGCGCCTGAGGGAAGAGCCTGAGGGCCACAGCAGCGCCTGAGGGCCACAGCAGGGCCTCATAATGCTTCAGGAAATGTGGAGCAGTCTTCATGAGGAGGCTGGAGAATGCTCATCATATTAGACTGTTCCTCAGGTACAGGCTTTGTCATCTGTTTTACTGTGTGGTGACATCACTGCTCAGCAGCCTTAACACACAGACGTGTCAGTCTGCATCTAGACTAGGACTTGTTTGAGCCACCCAAAAATGAACATACACACAATAAAGAAACCGATATAAACGTATAAACTGAGATACTGTTAAAGAGTTTCATTTGTCACATCTTTTCAGTTTGGTCTTGTTTACTGCAATATCATTTAAGCTATCATTTTGTGCAAGATGGTAAATGTAGTTATCCAAGGGGCTCTCTGCCTCTCACACCATTTTCCAAGTTTTTGTTGGCAAGAGTAAAGGTTCGTATTCTAAGAAAGAGCCAATGTTAGCACAATTGTTTCAATTAGGGATGTTGTCTTTGTTTTTCATTCATTCAAATATATTTTGGCTTAGAGACAAAGAAGCTCAGTGTTCCTTCTGTGTTCCATACACATCATAATCTGTTTTATTAAAACAACTAATGAACATTCAATGTATAATCCTGCTCACATTGACAGATGCATCTTCTGAAGCACTGAATACAAAAAGTGACAGTCACATCAGGCATTTCACTGACAGTTCCTTTCTCTTATCAGGATGTACGGAAGAGGATTAGGGCCACATGAGAAGAAACTATATTGGGGGTTGACCAAAAGTACAAAAACTAATCCCAGAACTTTTTTCTTCTACTTTTGTTCACATCCCAATTTGATCCTAATTTCCCTCATGTCGCCCTTATCCTGTTCCGTTCGGATGGTCTGGTCTCTTTTTTTTTTATAAAGTCTTTCAGTTGAAGTAAGATTGAGTCCTCCAGCCTGAAGTATCGAGTGAGTCTCTCAGCTGGGGGTCTCCTGCTCCTCATCCTGGACGCTCTCACTCCCCTTAGTTAGCTCCCATGTGGAGGTGAGTCCTCTATCCTGAAAAACAAGAACACATCAGCCCAGTCTCCATGACAAATAGTAAATACTGTGAGCCCACCCACCCACATACCTTAATGAGCACACCCAGGGGGGCCAGGTCCTTCCTGAGAGTGTCACAACTTCTGAGGAGGGGCCCTCTCTCTGGGTAGAGTGCCGCTTTGTGGGGGCGTCTACTGGTGGGAGCATCCTGACGAGCGAGTGCGAACGCTCGGACTTCACTTCTGAAATGAGTCAGCTGTTCCACCACCCCCTCCAGCCTCCCACTGCTGGTCCCCACGTCTCCCTGCTGTAACATCATTTTACTAATTAAACACACACTTTCTATTTGACTCAATCACACACACTTTCCTGCAGCCAATCGGGAACCTCATGAAAAGGTAATGGATGTGCAAACGTCTAAATGTTCTGACCTTAGTGTGCAGCAGATCGACCCCGAACACATCCAAGATCTCTGTGATGTAGCTGATCATCGCTCCAAACACTGCAGGGCTCCTAGCGACGCCCTCACACTGAGAACGAACACACACACACACACACACACACACACAGGGCTTTAAACTGATGATTGACATTTGTAATCCTTCTATAGAGCTCGTCCTGTCTGTCATCGAGTCTAACAGGAGAAGTTGAGTCATGTGAGCACAGTGCGTTACCGTGGAAACAGGCTGCAGTTGGCAGTTTCCGTCATGGACCAGGTTCATCACAGCGCTGACGGCTCTCGGGGTGTCAAAGTCGTCTGCCAGGGCTTTCAGCACGCTGGATTTAGTATCAGCCAGCCTGAGGAACAAGAACATCGAGCTGAAAGATCACTATAATAAGAAATGAGGAATCATTTCATAGCTAGAGGGAGGGTTACCGTGAGTACGGTCCCGCACCATAAGAAGATAAATAGTCTTCCACTATGACATTTTTGTATCCTTTTTTAGCCTTTTTGTCCAAATGAGCCTCACTTTGGAATGACTTTTAGGGATATTTCCGACAGGCTATCGAGACATGCTGAAGCCAAACTTTAAAAAACGTCTTTCCAGAACAGCTAGAGGGAGGATTTGAGAACAAAAGCAATACTTTGAAACGTTTTTTTAGGTCACTCCCCAGCAAAATATCGGGACATAGGTGGCATCAATACATTTGATTGACCTTCTTGTTTAATATGAAGTCAGTCTAACTTTCACTGTAACTTAAGAAATGTGTCCGCTACAGCATTTTGATAACAGTAATGTCAATACTTGAGCAATGAGAAGACTAGCTAGTTGGACAACTCTGATAGGAATGGATGCGTCAGAATTAAAGCCCCCTAACACAAAGAACTGAGAAAATAGTAATTCTATAAACAACAATACAAGCAATAGGACGAACGAAGCACATTGAGATAACGTATTAAAGTGTGGAGTTGTTGCTACCTGTCCCAGAGAGCTACTTCCTGTACAGGCGTGCATTTCAGCTGGCCCTTCATGTAGGCCTTAGCGTCCTGCATGAAGGTGGAGATGGTTTCCAGGGCGATGCGGGCCTCCACCATGCTGCTGTGGCTGTAGTCTATGGCTGTAGAAACAAGTCTGATTACTGCTGGAAACACCGGTGGATTCCCTTCTATTCAATGGTTTAAAACAAACAGTAACACTTTATATTAAGGTACACATATTCACCATCAACTAGTTGTTAATCAACATGCACATTAGCAGTATATTGGCTCTTTAGTATAAACACGTATTAATGCCTTATTCTACATGACCATATTCTACAAGTACTTGTTGTACATGAGTTGTGGTCTTAATGTGCTCAATATGGGCCTAATAAGGCAGCAGTACCACAGGAATAGTCATTCTCCCATAATAACACCAAACAGATCTGGTCTATTCTTAAGTAACAAGACATGCGTTTATTGTGTCAAAATAACTTAAAATGAGGTATTTCTAACTGAACCGAATATGTTCACTAATAAGCTAGTAGTTTGGCTCTAATACAGTATGCATGTTCATTAACAACTAGTTGACGGTGAATATGTGTACCTTTTAATCTAAAGTGTTACCAAACAAACATTTTACCCCACCTGATCTGTATTTGGACAGAAGACAGAATATCCTGAACTCGTTGGCAGAGTAGGACTGCAGGAAATCCTGATGGAATAAAAAGCAGGTGGTTCCAACAAGAGTTACTCAATAACACGTGATGAATCATTTGGAAGGACTTTACCTTGATGCTGACGTAGTTCTTTAAAGACTTTGACATCTTCTCTTCACTGCCTTTCAGGTGCAAGTGTCCTGAAAACAAATCAATGGTGTCAGGGCTGAATTTGATAGCAATTATAGGCAACAACATTCATAAGAAAACAAAGCTGCCTTTTCACATTAGGAAAACAGTCTAACTTTAAAGAGTTCTATAAGTGGTGTTGACCCCAAAGAATGTCAGAGTTGCAGATCGGCTTTGTTTCTATCAAGTAAGACATTTACAGCATAGCAGAAGCTCCTGTGTCTAAATGAGATGTGATGTCCGTGTTTTGTGTGTATATAATGTTTGATGTACATACACAATGTATTGGATAAAGAAGTAGAGCAGTGTTACCTGAGTGGAGGAAGTAGTTCGCCCACTGTCCGCACTGATGGTAGGCTTCACTTTGAGCGATCTCGTTCTCATGGTGAGGAAAGGCCAGGTCGATCCCTCCGGAGTGGATATCCAGCTGGCTGCCAAACACTGAGCTGAACAGCACGCAGGTCACACATCACACATCTGCTGATTTACATATATTGTAATGTTGAACCAGCGTCCTTAAGAGGAACCCAAAGAGAGATAAGACTAGCAGATCCAAACCTGGCGATGGTGGAGCACTCGATGTGCCAGCCGGGTCTCCCTCTGCCCCACGGAGACTCCCAGAACGGCTCCTGAGGTTTGGACCTCTTCCAGAGAGCAAAATCCCTGGAGTCTCGTTTAGTTGTGCTGCCTGGAGAAACGTACAGTGTGTTATGCATTGGTAAAGCTGACATATCGTCTGCCAACAGAACAGTGTCAGTGTGTGTGATCCTCAAAAGGTCAGTACTATACGGCTTACTTACACTCTAAAGAACACCCTGCAGATTCTGCTGATACTCTGTAGATATGAAGCCCTCAATCTTAAGCTCAGGTCATTATATATATAATTATGTGACATACTTATGAATAGTATATTCCATTTCTTCGTATAGAACCCTCATAATTCTACACATTTGCAATCAAGCGCTCTTCTCACTGTATAAGCTTTTTCAGCCCCTAATGATTTTCTTCAGTCAATCAAAGTGTGTTTATACAGCCCCATATAAAGAATGTTACATTTGTCTTAGGAGGCTTTGTACAGAATACGACACCGTCTGATCCTCTCAGGAAAACTCAGGACAGACGGACGTGCAGTAGGTTTCGTGTGTAAATTAAAAAGATAACACATAAGATGAAGATGGAACCAGGTGGATGTCAGAAGTAGAAATTGGTCAGTGACACAAAGGTTCCTCTGCTGTGCCGAAATGACTGACAGCGCTGTAAGCACACTCACCAGGCTCTCCCTGAGGATCCACTGCTCCTATAAACTTGCCATAACGACCCCCAATGGACTGGATGTCAAAATACACGTCACCTACAACCAAGGAATTTCACCAATGTTAACAATTAAAACAATTAAAAAGAAATAACAATAGCACCTAAAGCTCATACACATGTTACCTTCTTTTGTGGCATAAGCATGTCCATTTCTAATGATGCCGTCGATAAACGCAACAATATGATGCACATTCTCAGTGACTCTTAAATACACCGCAGGAGGAATCACCTACAAAAATAAAGTTGATAGAAAAACACGTCACAGTGTATCACTTACAGCGAATCACTTTTTTTACCTGCGTACACCTCACAGAGAATTAAAACTGTGTGAATAAATGATAATAAGGACAATACAGGACATGAATGCCCGATGACAACATCGTACATTTGGAAGACATATTTTCTATCCTAAGAGCAGTTTTCACTTAATCTATAATCTATATGAAGTGACCCTCCATGTCAGGCTTGAAGTATGTTATATATCACATGGGAATAAGAACATGAATTACCTGTGACCTTTTCACACACCTTTAAAGAAAGCATATCCCTCTTGAATTCATCCTCATAGATTGAAGCCAACACGTTTGGAGAAACATTCTCCTGTAAACAAGGGAAAGATATATGTGAATAAAACAAAGGAAAAGGATTAGGGCCACATGATAAAACATTTTTGGGATGTGAAGTGTGAATACCTCCCGGCTTCTTTTGATGATTTTATCATCCACGTCGGTGATGACCATGGCATGGATCACAGTGATTCCAAACAACCTGGTTAGGATCCTCTGCAGGATATCAAACCTGACATATGAGCTGTGGAAAGACACCCACATATTGAGCTATGGTACATTTTAAAATCTGTGCCTTTACAAATAATGATGTTATATCCTTACCATGCATGACCCAGGTGTGCATGGTCGTATACGGTTGGTCCACAGCTATACCTGTAACACAACACATTAAGTAAGATAGTTCTACATGCTTTATATATTCATCATTTACCCATGTTCCGTACCAGGTAGCTACTCCCTCTCTGGCCAGGATCAGAGGCTCTTTCTGCTTGGTCAGGCTGTTGAAAGCCTGTAAACCCGTTGAAGCCCCGCTGGGTCTAACCCATGCCCGGGCTGAAGCATTGCTGCAGTCTCCGCTGCATCTGACACTGACAGCTCTGGAGGCACAGAGGACCTTCGCTCTCTGGAACTCCGACCTTACCCAGAGCCTCAACATACTGCGACCTCGCTGTATGCTGCTACATGCGCACTGCTAGCCTAGCCTAGCTTCTAGACTCACACGATGACATGAACATAGGGAGCAGAAGCAAATGTAAGTTAATGCGACCTTTCTATAGACAGTCTACGGTAGCGACAGTGTCCAGACGTCACGCACTATTTCAAAGACTGTTATTCATGTTCCGGTCCCGTTCATTCCTATGAGAGTTGCTCAGTGGTGAATGAAGCCAAAATGGTCTGGCGCTCTCGAAAGCAAAAGTACCGAATTTGGGCCCATAGAGCATGCGCACTCGAGTTTTCCTTAAGTCCTGCCTCCTATCTCCCACTCTCGGCTCAGTCAAATGAATGAAAAGGGAAAATGACTGAAGGATTTAGCTTTTAGCGCATTTTACAACTTTTAGACCCTAAGGATTTTATTGAGGTCTATACAAGTCTTCGTATTGGATAGTTTATTTGGCAAAATAAAAATTATACGCTGATTTACAGACGTCTCTGTCCCAATGTAAGTCAATGGTAAAAAGTATTTCCGTCCACAATGACGTCACATAAACTGTATTACCACCTATTGGCCACTACAGACATTCCAGAAAATCGGGATTCGCTTCGTCTCCACATTTCTCGCGAGAGTCGGATACCGGAAGGGTTTGGACGTGTCATGTGATATGCTCTTTCTGGTGTTTGAGTAGCTATGTCAACATAATTCCATTTTTTAAAAGACTGGTTTTGAAGAGCGTCACATTTTGTCCTAAAGGACCTTTACAAGATGCAGAACGTTATAAACACGGTGAAGGGGACGGCTCTGGGTGTAGCTGAGTTTCTCACTCCAGTGTTGAAGGTAAGCTACATGAGCTAACGTTAGCTTGTTTATAGGTGGGGGACTTCTGTCAGATGTACATGCACACATTTTGAAAGCTATCTAACGGTCACATTAATTGTTGTTATTGTCTTCTCAGGCTTTCCATGGATGCAAGCTAATTACCATTTTGTGAAATGTACAGCTTAAATCCTGCATATCCCTGTACAGTTTTGGTTCTGTTATCTTTATATTGTTCTCTATAATCGTTTCATTCTTTTGTCTATGTTATTCTATTAATCCCAGGAATCGAAATTCAAAGAGACTGGAGTCATTACACCGGAAGAGGTGAGAACTAACTTTACTGTAGTAGGGGATTCTGTACTTGTACTTCAGTAAGAAATGGAAGTAGCTTCTTCTTTACTTGAGTACTTTTCACACTATGCTACTTTATAGTTTTACCTCACTACATTTCTTAGGCAAATGTTGTGCTTTTGACTTCATTTTACATATATTAATACTAGTATATTTGTATATATCATTATAGGTTGAGCTAACCAGTAGTGTATCAAGTTATGGAAATAAATCCCACTTTTACCAAGTTTAACATTGAAGTGATTCACACAATAAATAATTATAATGCAATCAATTGAAATATATGGTGCTTAAATGGGCCAGTCTGCACAATGAGTACTATATTTTGATTCTAATAGTCTTTGTATTTGTATGTATTGTATTTGACTCATTTTAATGTACTGTATTTTTACACTGTAGTATTTCTACTTTTACTTAAGTAAATATTCTGAGTACTTTTTCAATCTCAGCAATTAGTGTAGTATTTTTTTTCATTTCTTTAAATATCTTCTCAAAATCCTGCAGCTTGTTATCTAAATAATATACTTTTAATTTGTATTTCAGTTTGTGGCAGCGGGAGATCATTTGGTTCACCATTGCCCCACATGGAAATGGTGAGTGTCCACTTAGAGGTGAATCACAGATATTTGAGTACACGTGAAATATGATTATTAGCTCTTGAAAGCTGAGATCAAATATAAACTTTGAAATACACCACTGCAGCATTACTCAATGAATGTATGTCATTATTTTGTCACGTTTACCTTTACCCTATGCAGTACCACGGAAGTGAGCTCATACACTGGAGTGGAGCTGGGTACTGTTGGTAGTAACTTTAGTAATGTGGTGGTTGCTGGTAGTAATGTGAGTGCAAGGATAAAAGAAACAACTATTGTCATTGAACTACACATCGTTGTACAACTCATTTCAGTTATAGTCCCATGTTTGTATGGGATTGCCTAACCCCTGCCACTCATTTTTATATTATTTTTTAATGCAAAACCTTAAGTCCACCAACACTAAGTAAAATAATTATTAGATTTCAGCTCATTCAATTCCTCTTTGCTCAACAAGCCTGCAACTGTGGACCTTAAATTGTTAAAGTAATAAGTGTCTTGGTTTCCATCTTCCTTTAGGGCTACTGGGGAAGAAGTCAAGGTAAAGCCATATTTGCCGCAGGATAAACAGTTTCTCCTGACACGCAATGGTAGGTGAATTTGAAATACAATTCCATTATTGTAAAGGTTCCTTTGTTACTTAACTTCCAGCGTTACTTCCTCTGGTGTGCGTTAACTGTGTGCTGGCGATGTGTTTGATGTCTTTCAGTTCCTTGTTACAAGCGTTGTAAACAGATGGAGTATTCAGATGAGCTGGAAATGATCATTGAAGAGGATGATGGAGACGGGGGCTGGGTGGACACGTACCACAACTCAGGTTGGTCACCATCAACACCCATACATTTCATATATCCTGAGCATTTCATCGATGCTATAAAACTGTGACCTGACATAACGCAACCAGACAAACTTGGAATTCCCTACATTTACACATTGGAAGAACTGAAAGCTGGCCTAGACTTTCCGTGCTTTTTGAAATAATGATGAAGAACATGACTCTGCTTTGTTTTGGCAGGCGTGTTAGGAGTCACAGATGCTGTACGAGACATTTCCCTGGACAATAATAAGGTATGCTTTAACATGTCTGTGGTTTTGTTTTTTCTGATTGAACTCAATGCGGAATCCATGAAAGCCAAGTATATTAGTATACCTAGAGCTGGTGTTACAATGGTAGGCAGTATCTCCTCACAGCAAGAGGGTTCTGGGTTTGAATCCACTCAAACAGCCTTGGGAGAGCAGTTTCTATGGATACGATAAAGCAGGTCTTAGATAGGACCATAAAACAATCTTTTCTTCAGACAATAACAGGACGGTTTGACCCTGCCAGGGACAGGACTGCAGTGTATTACAGTATGATGTTGATTATGCTGAGCCACTAAATAGTAATATGAGATAAGATAAGATTTACTTTATGGATCCCAAATTGGGAAATGTTTGCGTTGCAGCAACTTAAAAAACAACAAAACAAGGCATTGCACAGAAGTAGAAATAAACAATACTAGGATTTAAACATCTCAAAATAGAATAACAGCAGCATTAAGAAGAAGAATATAGTAGGCCATGAAGATAAAACAAATCTATACACTTTGAAAATAAAACACTTTTGAACTTTAGACGCAGGATATTATTAACATGTCATTTCTAGTTTTATAGTCTTATCTCTCTTTGGGTTTCTCTTAAGGATGCTGGTTCAACATTACCATATATGTAAATCAGCAGATGTGTAATGTGTGTAAAATTGTCCCACAAGAGTGTAGGGAATATTCAATTCAATGTAAAGTGTATTAAATATGAATGTAAAATATCAACCTGGAAATGAGCAGAATATGACCTCTAGGTACAATTCTGAGGTACTTTTACATTTGACTATTCACCACATTTTGGAAGCTAGTATTTTTATTGTATCTATCTATTTATCTGACATGTTGTTACCTTTATAGATTCAGATTATTAGCTAATACAAAACAAATATATATATTGACATGATGAGATTAATCAATAATCAAAATCTAGTCATTTATCGTGTATGGTTTATGGGCCATTACACATAACTACTTCTACTTTTGGTACTTACACTTCAGTACTTCAAGTGTATTTTGATGCTGATGCTGATGCAGTCCTTTCACTTTATTTTTTACAATTTAGAATTCCTACTTTTATTGAAGTAAAATATATTCTTCCACCTTTTCAATTTGAATTCCTCTAGGACAACAATATGAATGCCAAGTCTGCAGCATGTGGTGATGATGAAGATGACGAAGAAGAGGGAGAAGCAGCCGATATGGAAGGTGCTTAAATCCTACCAGTAATGAAGCATTTTGATTTGGTTTTTCAGACAGTCTCACATTGTTCCTATTGCTTCTTTTCAGAGTACGAGGAGAGCGGCCTGTTGGAGACGGATGAGGTAGACGTCTCAAGGGGTCGCAGCTTGACTTTTATTCCCCCCCAGTTCAACCCGCCCCTCACGCTTCTCTCCTCTGTGTAGGCCACCTTGGACACCAGTAAAATGGTTGAAGCCAAAGCAGAGCCGGGGAGTGAAGACGCCATCCTTCAGACGAGAACATACGACCTGTACATCACATACGATAAATACTACCAGACCCCTCGACTCTGGCTCTTTGGATATGATGAAGTATGGGAGCCCCTTTGTTATAAAGCAACATTAAACGCACCTTTAGAGAATCTCAGCTTTCATTCAGTTGCCGGTTTATTTGTGGCTGTCATCTAGTTTTGAAACAGATACAGAATACACAATGATAGAAATGTATAGTACGGGTCCCAAGCATAAACTGCTGGATGCTAACTTAGGCAATTAGCACAAGTTGCATTAATTAGCATATGCATACAATAGCTAAAAAAGGCTAGGACAATTTGGGTGTGGTTTCTGAGGTATATTGAGGAATCAATTTCTAAAAAAATGTAGGGTAGAAAACTGCAGTTTTGAGTCCCTTAAACATTTAAAATCGACTGCTAATTAATTAAAGTCCGCCCACAGAGTACAAATACGTCCAATTTCTGGTTAAAACTGCAATTTTCTATCCTTAAAATCTCCGAAGTGTATTCAGCATCCTCAAGAACTCCGAAAAATAAAGCTTTGGTTAGCGTTGTTTCCACATACACTTTGAACTTTCTGTTCATCAAGATGTGTTGTCCCCCAGGATAGACAACCTCTGTCTGTAGAACAGATGTACGAGGACATAAGCCAGGACCACGTGAAGAAGACGGTCACCATTGAGAACCACCCCAACCTTCCCCCCCCTGCCATGTGCTCAGTCCACCCCTGCAGGTGAGTAACACACCCCCCCTCTCTTTCTTTAGATGCACATATTGCACCACCCTTCCTATTTGTATCTGTCTCGTTGAGATAATGGTTCACATAGCGTTACATGTGCTTTTACTCTATAGTGATGATAGTATGACTAAATGTTTCCCACAGACATGCTGAAGTGATGAAGAAGATCATCGAGACGGTGGCAGAAGGAGGAGGAGAGCTGGGAGTGCATATGTATCCTTTCATGGTGATAACATGTCTTGTTCTTTTACAACCATTTTAATTGACTGTTATTGTGTTACTATGGACAAGTGGGGGGAATTTACTAGTTGTGTGGAGTGTTACGGTCATTGCGAAGTTGATTCTCAGGAACTTAAAACAGCCAATGTGACTTTAATGTAGTTTATTTATAGTCTAGTTTAATTTAGAATTAAAAAAATCATAGAGTGGTGTTAATATGTGGATATTATCCCGCTGAAGAAAACTTGTAAGTATCATAAACGTGTGTTTGCCACAGATATTTTTTCATACAATATTTCAGAATCCAATAGACGAATCCCTTTGCGAGGCTAACTTCCGTGTTGGCTTACAGAAATGTTGTGTACCAATATGCTCTTAGCACCAACATACCATCATGTGTCACTGTGTATGCCTTTGTGTTTCCTTAACCGCAGCGTTCAGGTATCTGCTCATTTTTCTCAAGTTTGTCCAGGCTGTCATTCCCACAATAGAATACGACTACACAAGACACTTCACCATGTAGCTTCATAAGTGTGCTTCTGCTAATGCGTCATTGGAAAGACGGGCTCTTCGGCCTATATGTCCAGAGGATATCTGGTTTTTGGAGTGTTTAAGAACGTTGGAGGTGTGTGACAAAGCTGTGTGTTAAAGGAACAATCATAAAATATGGGTTTGTCTGCGTGGATACATGTGTGCTGTCTGACTGATACTCTATGGCAGGATAAGTCAGAGCTGTCTTATTTTCATGTTTGTATTGTTTTATTTCACCACTTGAAAATATATAAATGTAAAATAAACATACTTTGAACTATTTATAATTAGCTTGGAAGCTAACCACATGTATTTTGGTTTTCACAACGTTGGCTCATAGTCTTACTTCTGGTCTTTGTGCTAAGCTAGGCTAACCACACCTCTGAACTGGACAACACTGATTTGTATGTGACTCTGGGAAAGACTGCAGACGAGGCTTGTTCCTAAAATGTCGGGCTCTATGTCTGAGGCTTCTCTACAGGTTTACTGTTGCGACCACAAAGTAGGGAAATCTCAAGTTCTTGAAACTCACCCCATTCCACACTGCTTGAAATATAAGAGTCCATATCAAGAAAATAATACACATTGGTATTTCAAATGTTAGCTTCATGACTCATAAATTAGAATAATAATAGATTTCCTGCAGCCAAACACGTTCTTTCAGTGAAAACAGCTCTCTGCTGCTGCTGGAAAGTGATGGGTGAGAAGGGTGGCACTGAACCAAAACAGTAAAGATAGGGGCCATACAAACCAAATCAATGAGCCCTACATTAAGGCCCTTCACTGCCTTTAGTCATCTGTTTATGAACATCTGTTTCTTGAACAACTACACATAATATATTCAGAGAAAATACATCAAATATGTGCACAGCTATTGCTATGAAAAGTATGTTTTCTTGCTTACTTCCTTTTTTGAATGTCGAATAATTCAAATAATAATAATGAACAATTCTGCTACTATTATTGCTTCCATTCTGGTGCACTTTGTAGAAGGCATGGCTGAACTCTGTATTTGTAAATGGGCTTTTTATGCCGGTTTGTCTTAATACTTCATTCTCTGAATGTGTAGATGGCCAGACCTTTTGAATCATACATGGTTCTTGTGGGAAGCTCCTATGTTTTGTTGTGTCTAACTTCAACTTTGGACAATATCCCTCCTGTGTAGCTTGTGTCAGAAGCAGAGATATTTTTCAAATAAGAGCTGTGTGAAGGCTGGCTCTATTGTGCAGCATTTTCCCCTAACAAATGAATTATTTTATTGTCATAAGCCTCTCTATGTACTTCAATAAATCCTTCAATTGATATCTGGTGTAGTTTATTGAAACGATTTTGATTCCTGTATCCTACAGTAACATATGTCTAACAGTACTCTCAACTACATAAAATATAATGCTCGCTTTGCTTGTATTCTGTTGGTTCAATTAAATATTCACACAATAAAGAATTTATCAAATATTGCAAAAAGAAGATATGCTTACTTTTTTGGGCTTTGGTGGGTGTGGGCATGAGTCTAAAATCCTTATTTCTACACAGAGTTTAGGTAAACGGTCCGGATAAAAGAAAAAAGCATACAATACTATATTAGAACTTCACATTTGGTATAGGTTTTAGCAGGGACGTGCACAGACATTTGGAGGGGCTATTGCTCTAAACTGGAAAAAGGGCCTCCCCCCCGAAAAAAAACATAAGACCTTTTGAAAATTCCAACTTGTTTTTAATGTAAAAGAAACCAAACGATGTTTAAATTAACTAATTTGAAGAGTATTTCACATTATCATCTCATAACAAAAGAAGCTAAGGCGACTACTTGCATTTGTTCATAAAAGGAAAACCAGGGACATTTTTAGTTTTGTGGTCCATATCTCATTAAAATATCTAATGTTACTAACTATTAAAGATGAAATGGGGACAATTCTGTTTTAATGTAGTTTGACCAGACCATTGTAACTGCTGTGGAGACACACTGATAAAATAGGGCTTCGAACTAATTGCCTTAAATAAACTCACTAATTAATGAAACCAGTTCAATACGCATTATTCTTATTTTTATCATTCTTTATGAGCGCAGTAACGGTACGGTATCTAATTACTTATTTATTTAGTATTCCATAACTTCATAACAGAGATGGTCAAACTGAAGTAGAGACATAGCAGAAATCCTACAATGAAGCGGGACAGTGAAGTGTTCTCCTGAGACGAGCCACTACCGCTTGGTAGGGGGACGGGTCGTAACAGCGATCAAGAGAAGAGAGAGAGGCGTGAGGGAGTTTACAGATGAAAAGACGGAAAAGACACAGAAAGACAGAAGCACAATAACAAGTATATTTAGGTGTTTTTTTTAAATTAGCAGACGGTGTCAAGAGGAAGAAAAGTCCCCTGGTTTGTCACCTATACTCTAACTGCCATGAGAAAACTCAAAATTAATTTTCCAAAATCCGACACTAGGCGGTCTTTATCGCACTGGCAGATGACAGCGCTGACAAGGTGTGTTTTATCGCAGCGAGACGCTACAATACTAATTGTGGGTTTACCTATGGGATTAGTTTTGGGATTCGGCCACAACAGAAAAATAAAAAAATAAACTCGCTCACTCCAGCTGGTATGCTAATAGTTGCAGTTGCACACTAAGGCCAGCAGGGGGCGGTGGTGACAGCACACAGTGACACCAACAGCACCACCAAGGAAGCAGCAGCAGCAGCAGCAGCAGTATGCCGTCAGTCAGCAGCGTGCTGTGGAGGTCATGCTTGGGACTTGAACATGTCGGTGCTGGAGCCCACTCTCCTGCTCTGTGTGTTCGGCTTTTTCTCCAGCCTGCGACCGTCGGAGCCCTTCCTCACCGCCTTCCTGCTGGGCCCGGACCACAACCTGACGGAGGAGCAGGTCAGTTAGCTAGCCGGGCAAAAGGCTATATAAATTAGCACTGACTGCTGTTTAACTTACAGGACCTTGCGTTACTGACTTACGCAATACTAAATACAATTAAGCATGTTATTTTAATTATATATATATACTATAAGTCCTATTTAATTAGCCTTTTACTTGTTTATACGGAAGAGGAAAAAGTAAACAAGTTCAGACTTTAATCTCAGAATTCAGATTTCCCCCCTGGACAAATAATAATAATTTTCTCAGAGAATGTTTTTTTTAAATCTCAGAATTCTGAGATGATTTGTTTCTCATGTGGCCCTTATCCTCTTCCGTATATTTACATTGAAGGCTACTGATGAATGTATTGGAGTCATGGAAACAAGACACTTCATAATAAAGTCATGTCAGAATTCTGACTTTTTTCTGTGAATTATTTTTGCTTTCCAAAAACTCTTCTCACATGGCCTTCTCACATCCTCTTCTGTATTAATGACATATTTGTAGCCTAAGACCTTTTTCTGTGAATTTCACACCACAAGAGCTCTTTGTTTCAGAATGTATTGACACACTTTCCTCTTGCTCAACATGTTTCCTCATCCTGTCCCTCCGTGTGCAGGTGTAGGCTACATCTGAAGGGAAAACCTCTGACTAACATGCAGTTGGGTGTGCATACAATTAAATATGCGTGTTACTTGTAATGTCTACAATTGGCAGCAGTCCCTATTGAGCACACTGTTAAGGTGTTGAGAATAACTTCATGATGATATATCACAGGTCCCACTGTTTAATAAGAGTAGCTAGAGGCCCTCATGCTCAAAGAAGAGGATATTCAGTGCCATTGTTGGACTTGTTATGGCAAAAGAAAGCAAGAATTTGCAGTTATGCAACAGTTTTACTGCACCGACCCACTTTTAATCAATGTAGGCTCTATGTCAGGGGTGTCAAACTCAATTTCAACTCGGGCCCAGTAACATCATGGTTGCACTCAAAGGGCCAGTTTTATATATAAGACTATAGAAGTATAAATATTTAATATATATAAAAGAATGTATTACATTATTGCCTCCACATTGGATTATTATCGGATAGGGTAATAACTTCATAATTAACTTCGTCTGAAATCAGAAGTCTAGGGCAAATAATTGCAAGTCTCTTCAGTGAGAATGTCACAAAATGATTTAAAAAGAAAAGCAGAATTCTGGGAAAAAAAGTGAAATTTTGAAAAGAAAGTAACATTTTGAGAAAAAAAGTCAAATTCCGAGAAAAAAAGTCTAGTTTGAGATGCATTGTGGGACATGTAGTTTGTGGGCAATGTGCTTCTGTAAATCGGCATGTAACCGTATAATTACATTCTTTGCAACCTCTTGTGGCTCCACATGAAATGGAGTCGCGGGTCGGATTTGGCCCTCAGGCCTTGAGTTTGACACCCCTTTTCTATGTGGACTGAGATACTTTAACACTGCCAGAATAATCCCTCATTAATAGTCATATCCTTTTGGAATTCTGGTTCATCCTCAAACAATTACGTCCACCGAGTTAACAGAGAGAAAACAAAGGTGGCGAGTTACTGTCAGATATCCATGTTTCATACAGTATCTAAAGTCATAGACATATTGGTTCATTTTCACTATAGGTCAGGTTGAGGAATCATTGTTTACTCGCTGTTTCTCGTTTCTTATGGCTCAGGCATGTAGCCTTAGAGAGTTGCTGTTATCTCTCTAACATAGAGGCAGCTCTGTCTCTTTCTATTGCCAGTTTATAAAATAGTTTATTGTCTAGAGACACCTGGAAGTCCAGATGATCAGATGTGCAAGACCCTCTGACAGACAACCTTGAGTTATGGACAAACAGTTCTATTGCCCTGCTTGTTTAGTCTTGATATGAAGAATGTTGATGTATTCTTTCTGAACCAGTTAGAATCTCTGACAGCTTAAGGTATGCACGTGATCTCGTTCTTCAATGGATCAACTCTGGATGGAATAATACAGGAGGTGGAGATTAGCTGTCTTGTGACTTAGGCTCCATTCCAATATGGCCCCTGCACCCTTTCACTCGACATCGAAGGATTCCCATGACTCTCAGAAGGAAAATAGAACAGCCATAATTAATTGGTGCCTTTTTTCATTTTTGTCAACTTAAGCTATAATACTAATGAATGCAACCTATGCTAATTGTGCTAGCATAAACTAAGTGAATTAAAGATAAATGCAGTTGGAAAGTATGACTGTCCTTCCTTCTGTTTCCATCAAGCCACTTAGACGCCGTAAACAGACAGTTCTGGCGCGACCCCCATCACCCCAGCAACAAACTGTTCTGTCTGTTGGCGTCTGGCAAGCGTTACCGCAGCAACAGGACAAAGACCAGCAGACCCAGAAACAGGTTCATCCCACAGGCCATAAGACTCATAATGCCTGAGTTCTGTGAAGTGCCTCCATCTTACAATTAATTTATCTTTATTTCACTGCACAATATTTCATTTTCCATTCTGTTCTTGTATATCTTATTCTGTTTTCATATATATAGACTCCTGCATTTACTTGGTCACTTACAACCTTCTCTGCATCATATAGCTTATTGTATTTATTTATTGTATGTATATAGTTTATTTCATCAGAATCAGAAACGGGTTTATCACCAGGTAGGTTGACAGACACGTAGGAGGTATTTGACTTGGTGTCGTGGTGCATGCATAAAAGTAAAACAAGAATTAAAAATCACAGATAAATAACTATTTTAAGAACATCAAAAAGCAGCATTTACATTTAAACGGAATGGAATAAAATATGTGGAGTAAAAAAATCTACACTACCGTAATTTTCGGACTATAAGCCGCACCTGAATATAAGCCGCAGCAGCGGCATACCACTCTCGGTTCCACTTTTACTTTTGCGCGCTACCTGTCTCACTCTTTTCCGGCCTCCAGCTTTTCCTGCTGGAACCCGCCGCTTAAAGGTGGGGGTCCGCGGACCGGCCATAGAGCNGCTACCCCACAGCGCCCCAAAATAGAATCTCTGGCGCCGCCACTGAGCCTGACTATTTGTGTTGGGGGGGCCCGACTTTTTGTTTTCTCCAAAGGGGGGGCCTGACAGAAAAAGTTTGAGAACCATAGATTAGCCGCACCGTTATATAAACCGCAGCGTCGAAAAATAGGGAAAAAGGCGCGGCTTATAGTCCGAAAACTACGGTACTTGCATATTGGCATCTTTCCCACAGGTTGCCCGTCTCTTTTGATACTGTCTTGACTTGAGGTCAGGTGGCCCTTTTCACAAAACAAAAGTCTGTTTCTAACACTTCCTGTATGTGTTTTTTGCAGGTGGTTAATGAAATCTATCCAGTATGGACGTATTCATACCTGGCGTTGCTGTTGCCTGTCTTCCTGGCCACGGACTACCTGTGTTATAAGCCTGTGTTGGTGCTGCAGGCCACCAGCCTAGTGGTGACCTATGTGATTCTTCTGAAGGCGCGGGGCCTGCCGGCCATGCAGCTGCTGGAGTTCTTCTTCGGGCTGGCCACAGCCTCGGAGGTGGCGTACTACTCCTACATCTACAGCGTGGTGGAGCCGGCCCACTACCAGAAGGTGACTGGGTACTGCCGCAGCGTCACTCTGTTCGGCTCGGCGGCCGGCTCTCTGACCGGACAGCTGCTGCTCTCTTTGGCGAAAGTTCGGCTTGTGCACCTCGTCATCATCACTCTGGCATCATCCGCCGTGGCCTTCGTCGCTCCCTGGTTCCTGCCCATGCCCAAGAGGAGCTTGTTTTTCCACATGGGAGCGGGGGAGGGGGGGCCACGCAGCAGCAGCAAGGCCCTGTTGGAGAAGGACTCGGAGAGGGAGCTGCCCCTGAATGGTGTCACCACAGTGAGTGACAGTCCTGCTGCACAATAATCAGTAACTCATTTTACCTTAAAGGTCTCCTATTATACTATTTTTAGGCATATATAAAAAACATGTCTGAGATCACCCATTCTAGCCATGCCTCATACCCCTCTATTTCAGCCCTGTTAGAGAAGTGCTGATTCTGGGTCCGTAGCTTTAAAAAAAAAAGAAAGAAAGAGGGGGCGGAGCTTATACAGATACTCCGCTAAATGCCCCCATTTTTAGAGATTTGGGTAGGGAGGAACAGAGAGAGGGTTTTGTGTTCTTACACTTTGTGAATTCCCTTACACACCGGGGACAAATATTTATGTTTAAAAGACATTATAAAAGTTCATTTTGCATTATAGGAGACCTTTAAGCTATTTGAATTGAATTGACAGTCTGCTTCACAGCTCACATGATCCGGATTCCTCTGATGAAATGTGAATAACTTGACCTCCCTCTCTCTCCATGCAGATATCCAGTTCCTCTGAGACAGGAAGTCAGGGCAGTGGGTTTGTGAAGGTGTTACGGATTCTCTTTGACGACTTCCTGCAGTGCTACAGAAGTGGGCCCCTGTTGGCCTGGTCTCTGTGGTGGGCTCTGGCCACCTGCGGCTACTTCCAGGTGGTCAACTACGCCCAGGCCCTGTGGGAGAACGTCCGTCCATCCCAGGACTACGAGATCTACAACGGCTACGTGGAGACGCTGTCCACACTGCTCGGTGAGGGCGCCGATTCATCAGGTGAAAAGTTGTTTAACCATTTTGTTTTGGAGAGTGTTTAACTTATTTTCTCTCCACAGGGGCCCTGGCTGCTCTGCTGGTGGGCTGCCTGCCTCTGAGCTGGACTCAGTGGGGGGAGCTGGCTCTGTGTGTGCTCTCCCTGCTCATGGCTGTGTGTGTGTTTGTCATGGACACCGTGAGGAACATCTGGATGTGTTACGCCTCATACATCTTCTTCAGAGCCACCTACATGCTGCTCATCACCATGGCTACGTGAGTGTCAAGAGGCAATGAGCAGGTTCATTTAGATTATTGTAAGACTGAAAGGAAGAAGACACAGGTTATCTTCATTATCTGGAACACTCTTAAAGGAACCCTATAAGTCAAAGGCTTCACAGGTGAAGACTTTTGATGATTTGAAAAGTGTGGGAACGAGCCACTTAAAACCAAACATGAGCTGAATGGAATCATCAGGGGCTCTTGTTCTCCTTCTGCTTTCCTTTCTCTTAAGTGATGATTGTTTAGTTTGAGGAGTAGGTCACGGGTGGATTTCGCTTTCTGAGCAACTGAGTATTATTTTAATTGTTTTAAAGTCATTGGAGACACTGGTCTTAACCTTCCTCACATTTTGAATAAATCTTCCCTTGTCCCGTCAGATACCAGATCGCAGCCAGCCTCAGCATGCAGCGCTACGCCCTGGTGTTCGGAGTGAACACCTTCATGGCGCTGCTGCTGCAGTCGCTCCTCACCGTGGTGGTGGTGGACTCCGCCGGCCTCGGCCTCGATGTTTTCACACAGGTGACAAATCAGATTTCACAATATCAATATTGCCAAATACCAAAGATAGCTAAGTTTTGTGTTAGAAATGTTTAGTACCCCAGCACATAGAAACTGCCGGATGCTAACTTGCATATGTTGGGCAATTTGCACAATTAGCATCAATTGCATTCATTAGCATTATTACCATTATAGCCTACAGTATGTGGACAATAGCTCTACAATGGCTTGGCAGATTTTGGAGTAATTTGGGGGGTTATTAATGGAGCTGAGAATCCAGACATTTCCAGGATCAATAATGGCAGTCTTAACCAGAAAATGCCAATGTCTGTACTCTGGGGGCTGATTTTGATTCATTTTTGGAAGATTTAGGGGAGTCTGGATCATTTGGATCGGACAAATTGCCTATTTATTTGTAAAAATAAATGTTATTATAATATGTTATTATATTTATCTTGTGCGCTCTATATCCAAAGATTGCAAAACTACTCATGGTAGTCAAAATCCGTCCACTGAGTACAAATATGGCCCTTTCTGGATAAAACTGCCATTTTTGATATTTAAAATGTCAGAAATCGATTGAGCATCCTCAATAATCCATAAGTAATATGTTATAAGTCTTTTTTTTACTATCATCTGCATAGGCTAGAACACACTTATGCTAATTGTGCAAATTGCCCAACATGCAAGTTGGCATCGGGCTGTCTCTGTGCTGGGGACCTGTATTATACATTTTTAACATAAAACTTTGGGGTACTCAACATTTCCGGGGTCACTATGCTAGACTATTTCCACATGTTGGCCATGCTATTTCGCAGGGTTAATTTGCTAACTACCTTGTTTCCTTCCCTTAGTTCCTCATCTATGGCTGCTACTTTGCTGTCATTTCTCTGGTGTTCCTCCTCGCTGGTGTGTGCAAACTGGCCTCCAGGAGGCGCTGCAGGCAGGGGGGGGCTGACAGCCCAGAGACAGACTCTCCTTCAACACAGGACGCCAGCTCCACTAGATAGGCCTTTATCATAGGTATCAATTCTCTTGATATGCTTGAGCACCATGGGTTCACGGAAGAGGGTTAGCGGGGAAATAATCCAATTGCGATTTTTCTGACAGATATTACGATTCAATTTGCGATATTTGTTTTTAAGCAACCCGAAAGAAACTAAGAAAGAAAGAACTAAACTTACATGAAACTTCCGTTGGGTTGCTTTAAAGTCAAGCTTCAGTTTAAGATTCACCCTGTCATAGAAACATGTGATGGAGCATTACTAACCTGACTCAGATTCAACTCCGATTCAAAAATACTTGGCAGGTGATTGGATCAATCTGTCTATCACCTTCTATCATGGGCCACTTCTGATTGGTTAACAATGGCTGGTACATGTGGAGCACAGCACTTCTTATTGGTGTGGATGACTGACACACAAGAAAACAAATTTATAAAAAATCACAGGCTTTGCGATTTGATAATTGCATCATTTCAAATCGCGATTTCGATTTAAAATCAATTAATCGTACAGCCCTAGTACCACATAAGAAACATGTAGAAATGACTGATGCTTGGAAATGTACAATGGGTTCATTCCAATAGGCTTGGTAAAAACCCACTTCCTGCTGCTTCTGAGTGAAGATACCTGAAAGAGCACATGTGCAGAATGACCAAAACGAGTTGCGTGATAATCACTCTTATGATTACTCACACTTTTATTTTCATTCAAGTGTGAGTATTAAACAAAAAGACTAGTAATGCAGCTTTAAAAAACTGCTGATCACAGATGAAAGGCTTCATCGGATATATGATATTGAAAAATGTTTACGAATGTTCAGAATTCGTAAGAAGTCAGTGCCTTAATGTCAAGGCAAGAGCTAAATGAACACTAAGGATGGTTCCTTCCTAACGGCGCTGCTGCTCTTGTGTTACTGCGACACCAGCCTTTATTCTGAAGAGACTGTTTTTGTTATTTCCTTCTGTAATTGCATAGATTGTGTATTGGAGTTTATCAATATGAATCAATGTGACTGACAGTATGTTATATTGACATGTTACCCTGTGGGGATCATGGATGTTTAATAGATGGATTTATACTAAATGTACTAATGTATGTTAGAACTGTATACATGTTTATTTAAGTTCAAGTTTGTAAGCTCACTATCACTTCGATTTTTGACGTTGTAATCAGTAAAAGTAAAAGCTAACGTCAGCCTGTAGAAAAACGACACATGGCTGCGCACCACCACGGCTGATGTTGGGCTATAAAAGAACTACTACTGTAAAACAGAAATAAGTAAATGTATTTTAAGCAAATGGCCTTTTGCTGTGAGAATGGGCCCCGCTGTGTGTGTGTGTGTGTGTGTGTGTGTGTGTGTGTGTGTGTGTGTGTGTGTGTGTGAGTGAGAATAACTGTAGAATTCTTTGCACAATCTTTTACCTGCACCACGCAAAGTGAAACATTCCTAGTTGCTGTCTCTATGCAAAAATGATATGCCTAATAAACATAATATTTTGTTATGGTTGTGTGTTTTTACTGTTCCTTTTATTTCTCATTATATATTCAAATGGACAAAAATAACTTCTATCCAGTGTTGTAGCCACACTTCAGATTAACACTAATGTCAGCATGTTCATATCATATGCATGTTGTTGTGAGCATGTTAAAATAAACACATTTGCTCATCAAAAGTAAGCTGGAATAGAAAAGTAGTAGCATTTTTAAGTTCTTGTCAGACAAAGCAGTTTATTTGACATGTTTAGCTTTAATTTAACATTAAATCCAAATAAACCAACATTTAAATGACAGGTTGTAATGCTATATAATAGGAAAACAAGTGGGTCAATACTTTTGCAAGGTGGTTTACGTAATGTGTAATCAGGTCATTTCCTGTTCCTCAGAAACACTGTCCTGTGGTCTTCTAAACACATAATGAATACACGTCCATTTCAAACTTTTATTTCAATTTAATAGTAAAGATTCCTTTCCTTTACCCAGCACAGGCTGCTCGATGCCTTTGAGGGTGTGTGTGTGTGTCAGGTGAGGCTCCAGATGACAGTCAGCATTGACATGATGCCATTAAGGACAGCGACGCCAAAACCCATGTTGAAACCAGATGCATCTCTAGAAGAAAAACACAGATTCCTGCTTTTAAAATGTTGTATCCCTTAACTGCTGTCTGCTAGTGAGGTTATTTTGATCCACAATGATTGGATGTTGATTAATATTCAGATATCGGTCTGATATATTGCTTTTTTACCTGAAGTGTGCCGGTTTCATCGGTTTTATGGATACAATGCCAGGCTGGTACGAGTCCAGGTAAGTGAGGGTCCACGAGAAGACACAGCAGATACATCCCACTGATACTGACAGCACCAGGATACTCCAAAAACCTACAAACACACACACTGAACAATTACTGTACATAATGATATATTGATACTTGTAATACAATACTGTATTCATGTGTTCAACAGCTCAGTAAATCTGGGATTAAATGAACAAATCTAAATGTTTACCCAGCATCCTTTGTTCAGTCCCGTCCTCCCCTCTCACTCTTTCTGCACGCAGCTCTGAAACAGAAAAACTGAATTATGAGGGAAAAAATCTGACTTCTCAGAATTTTTAAAACATTTAAAAAACATTTTTCTGCAATGAGTACTTTTACCCCGAACACTTTAGGTAGATTTTCCTAATCATACTCAAATACTTTGTAGTAGGCCTACTGTAAATCTAGTATATTCACAGTTTGGCATTACAGTAGTAGCTACTTGTACTCAAGTAAATACTCGGACTACTTTATCCACCACTGATTATTTGTAGCTTATAGCCAAGTTTCAGAAAACTATGTAAAAGTAGCAGTTTGCACATCATTGTGTGCGCGAGAGGCGAGACACACCTATGTCCACAGGCGCACGCTCTTACCTTTGAGTATGGGGTAGATGAGAGCGCACACACAGCCCACAGCGGCCGCAGCTGCAGCGGATCCCAGGACTGACAGCACGAGCACCGGCCACGGTTTAAAGCCGCTCCGGTTGGTGACCGACCGTCCCGCTCTTCCACATTCATTCTCTCCTGACAGGAGACTCTCCCCGGGTCTCACAGAAGGACAGTCTCTGTGCTCCATGTCCGGAAATGTGTCTGAAAAGTTCCCCGTGCCTCTCTTGACGCACTTTAACGTAACTTGCTTTTACGTTATATTGGATACAGATAGCGTATTAACTGACTCCTTTACCAGACTATATATGTCAAAAAGTGCACATTATAAAAATGACTGAGCGTCCCGGAGGAGCATCAGGAATGTTCTTCTTCTTCTTCTGCCTGTAGTAGCACTTCCGCACACATAATTGTCCCTCGGGCTTTTCCGTCACTGTAGTTTTATTTAGGAGAGGAGTATCCTATCAGAGCTTTTATTTTGAAAGAAACGGTATCATAGGTATCATAGGCAGAAATGTGTACATTTATTTTGAAAATAACAAACCGGAAAAGGTGTTGACGCATTATTGTTGTCTGTCAACAGCAGTGATCAAATCTACTTGAGACGCCACAAAGCCCACCTGGTGACCATAAGGAAACTAAACATCACGGTACGTTTAATACAAATCCACTGTGCTGCTTTGGTACTGTTATAGAAAAGGCGGGAGCACAATGGTCGCGTGATCATTTATTTGTCGTGTACTCAGTCGTTCAGTACCACGGGGCTACATGTAGTGGTAACATTGGTTTGTGACGTTATTCTGCTGCTGCTTTAGCTAAGAGTAGTCGTTCTCTTTACCCATTAATGTCCACACAGCGTTCGTACTACATGTATGTGTATCCGTATCTGCATACTGCTACTAGCTTGGCAGCATTTAGCTTTTCTAATGCACCAGCCAAAATGACGGACCTGTTATTATTAAACGGACTTTCCGGGTAAAGTAAAGGAGCTACCTGACTGCTCACCTGTTGCTCTTATTAACAGACATGACCAATAGCTAACGTGAGATCGTACTTCCCCTGGTACAGATAAACTCCACTTTGCATTACATACACATTTACAGTTGAAATTATCACTGCTTTTTATTGTCCTTGTGTCTTTCAAAACACAATTTATCAGCATTTAATAATCAAATGTCTCACCTCAAATGCAAAATATGAAAAAGATGGACCTCCTTGGTGTAAAATTACCCGGATGTTCTTCATCCATAGAGCAACCAAGCATCCCCTCCTTTACCTGTACCTGTCGGACTCAGGCCTGACTAGCTGATTATAGAAATATTGAACCAAATAACTAAATAAAACGAAGATATTTTTTTTATTGGATTTTGGAATATTGCAGACTATATTTACATGGAAAGGGTGAAATTGGACCATGTCTGTGTAATTGTGGCTGGTGTCAGTGTTACAGTAGGGGGACACCAAGGTAATTGTAAAATCTCTAATAGCACCAATAATGTGTGCTAACAAGACAGAGCAGACCTCTGCATTGTGCATTCTCAAATTGACCAACCAGAATCGAGTATTCAACCAAGCAATGTAATAATCAGAATACAGTTGGATTTAAAATAGATTGAACAGATCATTGAATCATATCATTTTTTGTTGGTGTGTGTGTGACCTGTTTTGACATTTCAAGAATGTAATGCAGATCAATAAGCAGAATCAGATTGGCAGTCATTCATTTTCAAATAATACCCAACCCTTTTATGTGTTTGACTTGTGGTGGAAAATTAGGCAATAGAGCTTAGTCATGTGAAGATGATCTCGGTTATGTGTCTCTTTTGCTCTAACCGATACTGGCTCTCCTGCTGTGGGAGCAAAATAGTGTTGTGTCCAGGAAAAAACAAAAAAAGAGGAACCTGTTATTGTTCAAATCTAAAATCCTAATCCTGATGTCCTCCCTGACAGCTTCTTAGTGACTCAAAACAGGCCAAGTGTGTGTGGTTGTGTGTCTCAATATGTGTGTGTCTGTGGTTGGGCAGCAGCAATAGGCTGACTGTTGGTTAGATATTTATTTAAAGCAACATGCTGTCAGCAAGTATAACATCACATAGAAGAGGGAGACAAGGCTGTGTGTGCGGGTGTGTGTGTGTAGCAGTATGTGGGTAAACAAGTGGGGGTAGGGAGATTAAAGAGGAAGTGTGAGTACAGAAAACGGGGAGAGAGTTAATGTGTGAGAAGAGGAAGAGCTTTATTTGAAGCAGTTATATTATGCTAATGTCACAGTCTCACTGAGCTTTACAGTGTGCAGTCAGGCTGCTCGAGGCAGTATTTCAATAGAGTCATCTGCAGAGGACTCCAGCACAGAGCCGTCACATGCTTCACTCAGAAGGACAGTGTACTGTGGCTTTGTGGTAGGAAAATAACATAAAAAGACAAAGCAGAATGTTAGTTGCAGCTAGGGCTGGGCGGTACTGTATGACAAAAAACTCATCAAAGTATATTTCCAAATGATCACGATATATCACAGTATTTATTTATTTTTCATTGGTTGGAAATGTATTTACATTGACACGTTTTGGCCCCACAAAATAACACCTGATCAGTGGTGACCTCCATGAGTCCTATGTGGTGAAGGAATCAGAATGTTTGAACATGTGAACAAACCAACAACAGATTGTCACCAGCTTGTTACTGAGACTGTTCTTTTACTTAAGTCTTTTATTCCACACGGCTGGTGGTTGGCTTTTAGTTCAGTGAATGCTTTATTTGATATGCAGCAATTTAGTTCAGTGAATGCTTTATTTGAAATGCAGCAATTGTTTCTATAGGAGAATCATTTTGAATGTCGTAGGACATGTTTATTTCATTTTAGGATGCTAAAATCTTGTAAAATCGTGCTGAGATATCTACTTTACTGCCTAGGTAGGGCTGGACACTAATAATAATTAATTCTACAAACAAAAATAACAGATTTTATACAAATAAAAATGTGCGCATTAAATAAATAAATGTCCTGAAATGTTCCCATACCCTGCTGACCTTCGGTGTCTCTCTCCCCTGCAGGACTTTGGCTTCTCCTCTGTGGAAGTTGCAGCTGTGTGTGTGAGTGTGTGTGCGCGTGTGTGTGTGTAGGGCTTTTTTTCTGCAGCGTGATGTCTTCAGAGCTGCTGGTAGATCTGGGCGAAGACCCAACGACGGCACAGTTGGGACAGCTGAAGCTGACAACGATAGAGGACCAGCAGTGGCCCGCAGATGAGACCACTCTCAGCAAGTCAGGTGAGAACACGTTAGAGACCCCCTAACCCTTACCATAATCGTATTGACATGCAACATTCACTAGGGCTAACGGTCACATCTTAATATCTAACCTTAACCTTTGAACTATGAGGTCAGGACTCAGATGTGTGTGTGTGTGTGTGTGTGTGTTTCAGAGACCGATATGTCCCAGCGCTTCGATGCCGACTCCCCCCACCTGTCCTGGGACCATCCCTTCTATGACATCGCTCGGCATCAAATCATTGAAGTTGCAGGTCGGTCCTTCAAAACGTTTATTTTCAAAGCACACACATTTTTTATTTTTGTTTATTAATTAAGTAAAAAATAATCCACACATAAGCTTCTCAAAGACATTTTGAGCCTTTATCTTCGCAGTGGCCTAACAGTGGTGACGCAGAGCCATGTGACCGTTACAGAGTTCATTTAAAGGTCACATTAAGGGCTGTTTTGTATATATCTGAGACCTGTAATATACTGTTGAAAAAGAGTATAATAGCGGACCTTTCATTCTTAGCGTTAGCTTTTGACTTCAAAATCATAAAGTGCTGTTAACATGTGGAGATTATCCTGCTGAAAACAACATGTAAGGATGTTAATCATGTGTTTGCCAAAGGTCTTAAGGCCCAGATACACCGGCCCGAAATCGGCAGTAAATAGGAGTCGGGCCGAACATGAGCGTGGGCACCTGACGACTTTTCTTGCCGATTCAACATGTTGAATCGGCGTCGGGAACACCACCGGAAGTCGGACAAAGGCGATAACACTGATTGGCTGTTCAGCTAGCGAATCAGTGCATGAGAAGCGTTAACGGAAGTGAGGGAGGTAAACAAATGATTTAAAATGGAAGATGGAACACACACGGACGGCTATTTCACCTCATCGGTTTATAGAGCTCCTGTTCGTTCATGTTTTCAATGGACGAGAGTGAAAATGGAAAGAAAAACGCTATTTGTTGTTTGTTTATATCACGGAGTCTGTTCTTCTTCTCTGTCTTCCGGTTGTTCCGGTTGTTGCCTCTTTTGAATGATGACAATAAGTTACTGCTCTCACTTTACCTGTTCTTTTGCGAATAAACAACAAACAAATATTAGTGCCTCAGAACAGGAAGAAGAGGACAAAGAAGGCCAACAAAGGCCAAACACGAGAAAAACTTACTACTTTTATTGTGTGAATGGAAGGCCGGACGACCATTCCCTCTCAATAACGGTGAGGTGCGTAATGCGTCAGAGTATGCACGAGCCCGCAGCCTAAACAACCACGGGCTCGCCGCCTATGCGTCCTCTCCAGCCGCTGCGTTGTCAGCTCGAGCCGCTGAAGAAAGTCCACTGACCGGCCACAATAGACCCGGAAATCAACAAGACATTATAGGGTGTAGTAGCAATGGAAGGGTGAAAACCGAGAAAAAGTCAAAATTTTGGTATTACAACTTTTGTAAAGAAGTGTGTAATAGAACCCACGTAAAGTCTCTATTACACACTCTTTCAAAAGTGTAAGTAACCGCAAATTTTGACTTTTCTCGGTTTCACTCCTCTCATTGCTACTAAACCCTAATAATGTTCTGTGATTTCCGGGTCCTATGTGGCCGGTCAGTGTGACTCTTCGAGCGGGCTGCCGCTGAACAAACGCAGCGCCTGAGAGGACGCGATTAAAACGGCCTGAAGCGCGTGACGCTTGTGGTGGCTTTTAAGGCTCGGCGCTCGGCCAGTACTTGAACCGCAGTACGCACTTCACGCGTGTATTGAGAGGAATGGTCGTCCTGCCGCCATNAAGTGGAACTTCTGTGTGAACTATTCATATCTTAAACTGCACTGTAACTTTTTATTCATGTATTTTTTCTTTTAATGTTTATTTTATTATCTTTTCTTTTTAATGACTGTTTTTAAATGCCTTTGTCTGAATGTCTTTCATTTTTGGAAAGCACCTTGAATTGCCTTGTGTTGAAAGGTGCTATATAAACTTGCCTTGCCTTGCCTATAATCATTAACCCATGTTTTTATAATTGAGTTAACTCCGTGTGTTGCTGCTAGCATACATAACACCCGACGTGGAAACGTTACTCGTAAATGGGGCTACAGAGCTACTAGAAAGACAGTCGAACACGGTGCATTCCTCCGTCTGAATGTGGAGCACTTTTGCTAAATGTTTAGACAAATTGCTCGTGTTACCGCCCTTACATGCTAAACTCTTATTGCACTTTTGGTATCGAGCATTGAGACGGGTAAAGTTTAACCACACCTCGGAGCGCGTTCTCTCCACCATCTCCTCCGTGTGTATGTGATGCTTCATGTAGCAGAGCGTGTGTGTAAACTGCCCCGCCCCCTCGCACACACACAGGACAGGAGAGAGATCTCTCGTCTGGATTGGAAAGATCGAAAATACTAAAAATAATCAGAGACGCATTTTGCAGTCTTTTTGGGTATTAGAAACAGAGTTGGCGACACTAAAACTGCAATATAATGTTTGTGTAGCAATAATACACATGACATTTATTTTTTACATGTTTCCAGTACCGATAAAAAGACCGATAACGTCGGAGCTTAACGGTACCACAGACTTTAATAATTCAGCCCCGGGTCCCGTTTAATACCGGGGCTCGGTACCCATCCCTACTTAAATGTGCTGGTCAATTTGTAACATTTGGAGTGCTTATCAACTTATTTAACAGCAGAACCACTGTTTTTGAAACAACAACAGGTCATGATAATGTTGAATCCATGTGTGTTTTCTGTTTGTAGGTGATGATAACTTTGGCAGGAAGGTGATAGTGTTTAACGCATGTAGGATGCCTCCACATCACCAACTGGACCATCACAAGCTGCTGATGTAAGAACCAGTAAACATCTAAATGCAGTCCAAATACACACATGTATTTAAAGGAAAGTGACATGGTTTATTATTCTCCTTGCAGGTATCTTAAAGGAACACTGGATCAGTATGTTGAAAGTGATTACACTCTGATCTATTTCCATCATGGGCTGACCAGGGAAAACAAACCCTCTCTCAGCTGGCTGCGGGATGCATACAGGGAGTTTGACAGAAAGTAAGCGCAATGACTCTCACGACAAGTGTTCCTGAGCTGCTGTGTCAACACACCATCCTCAAAAACTCTCCCAAGGCTTTTTCAAATGTTTCTATGACAACAATATGTTGACAACGCATCACTGCTTTTTCAAGACCTGACTAGCCCCCTTGGATTTAATAATCAGTCTAACAGCTGTGGAGTACGGTTTGCAAAAGTCACAGCATGACTAATGAAACAACTATGGGAGATGATAGAACAAACTTCTCAAGTTCATGTGAAATAAAGCACACTCAATACACAGTTATGTGTATTTTATATAAATGAATTTACAATATAAGACACATTTCAATCCATCTACACAACTTTTTCTCCACCCTTGACCTCCTTGCTTATTGCATCCTCCATTTAGGAGTGTTTATCATTGATACTAAATAGTTTTAGAAAACAAAACTTGCTATTTGAGCATGACACCAACATCTGAGATTACATTACACGACGCTTTTATCCAAAGCGACTTCCTCACTCAATAGTGAAGCGTCTTGCCCAGGGACACAACGACATGCTGACTGCAGTGGGGTTTGAACCTGTGACCCCCTTATCCGAACACCAACGCACAACCCACTGCACCACACGCCTCCCAGATGTAGTTGTGATGTTTTAAAGTACTATATTATCTGCAGTTTGGCTACATTTGTGGTACTTATATATGTATTATATATGGAGCAATACATCAACATGCAGAAACATTGAGCTAGAAATCGAATGTTAACGGTGGTTTTAAAGTGATCAGTACAGTGCATGCCTCAGTGAAATGAACAGATACTATACCTCAGAACCTTATCCTTGTCATCTGGACCTTATAGAACATTCTCTGTGTTTCAGGTATAAGAAGAACATCAAGGCGTTGTATATCGTCCACCCTACCATGTTCATCAAGACTCTACTGATCCTCTTCAAACCACTTATCAGGTTCTCTTTGTTTGTAAAGTTACACATATTATTACACATGACAGCAATGTGCTCAGCCAAATGCAAGCATAAGATTTTCTTCACCCTTTTAGAATGGAAGCCACTGTTGTTTGACACTTTTCTTGTCAGCAGGACACTTTGAGTTGAAATTGAGTTTTAATATTCTGCAATATTTCAAACTGACCCAATAACACACACATTGGCTTTTGTGTTACTGCTCCATAAGAAATGCCAACTTGTTGCAGCTGTAGTAAATGTGTGTAGCATTATTGTAAGCCAATATACTGTAAATATATGAATATTGCGATTCTTTAATCAGAAGGTCATCGGCTCAATCATTATTATTTACCTCAGATGGCAACAATAGTTACATTTATTTAAAGGTCACCTATTTGGCAGAATCCTTTTTTCCATTTTAACCGCTGGATGTCCTCGCTCTCTCGCTCTCTCTCTCTCTCTCTCTCTCTCTCTCTGCAGCCTTAAGTTTGGCAGGAAGATAAACTACGTGAGTTATCTGAGTGAGCTGGAGGATGTGGTGAAGTGTGAGCAGCTGATCATTCCTGCCCGGGTCAAAGAGTAAGAGCTGAGCCAAATGTACTTCTGCAAAATCACTTAAAAATGATACACAACTCATATCTGCTATTGATTTCCTATCTTTGTACAGTAATGTGATCAAACAACTGACTTCAGAACCTTCAATGTGTGCAGGGTTCACACATTGATGGTTCTGAAGTCATTTGTTTGATCACGTTACTGTCTCTACTTTCAATTCTATATCCCATCCTGAGCCATAAATGATCTTTTGGTTTGTTTCTGTGCAAGGTACGACAACAAGTTGAGAGCGTCTCTGAAATCAGGCGCTGAGCCCCCCGTGTCTCCTCTTCATAGCCCCCCCCTCCCCAACCAGGTGTTTGGGGTGCCACTTGCAATGTAAGTGACCACATCTCTGCTGGTGTGTGTGTTAGATATACTGATATTAGGTACTTCCCTTTAAGCAACTCTCTGCTGGGAGACTTGTTTACTCTCAATGCTAAACGAATGATGGTTGCTGTATTAAAGACCTAGTCTATACTTTCAATAATGAACTGTATGGTACATGTTTGTATGTCAGACTCAAACAAAGGAGTCCAGATGAGGATCCAGTCCCCGTGGTGATGAGAGACACCATCAACTTCCTTTCAGAGCAAGGTAACTCTTCTTCTGTTGGTCAAATTAGAGACACATAATTGATCCCTTTGTCCTCAGTAATGAATGTCTTTGTCTCTGTTAGGTTTGGAGATCGAAGGGATCTTCAGACGTTCTGCTAACGTGACGTTGGTAAAGGAGACACAGCTCCAGTACAACTCGGGTATGATCAATGACCTGGTTACATTCTATTCCTCTCACTGTGTTTGAGCAACAAGGAAGTACCTTTTAACTTCCCGTCTACAGGGGAAGTGGTAAAGCGTGGTGAAGACTCATGGGTGTATGAAGCGCAGAAAAACCACTAGTGATGAGTGCAGTGTATTTGGAGTTAGGATGGACTCAGCGGTGATGTGTGTTTGTGTGTTTTCTAGGGGCAACAGTGAATTTCAGAGAGATGGAAGATGTCCACTTGGCTGCTGTGATCCTGAAGACGTTCCTGAGGGAGCTGCCGGAGCCCCTCCTCACCTACCAGCTCTACAACGACATCGTCAACTTCAGCTGTATGTTGGAATTACACTCGTTTCATTTCAGCGTCAGAGTTTCTAGGAATCTCATTCTGCTGGAATTAGATGGAAACTATAATTAGATGGAAACTTAATTATTCAGAAAACAAATTATATCAACTTTGAAGTATGAGGTAGCAGGATCAGTGTTATCCCTATCAGGTTCTTTCACTTTAGTTATGACTATTGCATTTTGGATTGTCAATTCTGCGCCAATATAATATTTTCATTACAGAAAAGTACTTGCAGTACTTATACATTTGATAGTAATCAAGATTTGATCAAAGATTCAGATTCATACCCCTGCAAAGACTTTGCATATTTATATATAAATACCGTATATATATATATATGTAAAGTCTACACATATAGTAACCCTGTTTTTTAATTAATTTGTTTACTCTTTAGTTGGAGTCACATAGTATTGATAATACAGTTTGATTGACAGATCATTCTATTAAGTGTCCCAACAATAGAAAACAAAACGTAATAATAATAATAAATAGAAAGTAAACAGACCTGAGAAGCAGGCTTAATATTATACAGAGGTTGTTTGAAATGAAAACTAAGTCTAAGAGTATACAGAAGCCCAATCAGACAAAGGAGATGGCAGCCTGTTGCAGCAGCTTCCACTGTGTTTCCTGATTATTCTTTTTTGGGAATTTTTTTAGGTTTATATTTATTTTATTTGTATTTTTTATTCTATTATTTAAGTCATGTTGCCATTCCTGAAGATTAACTGTCAACATGCTGTTGTGACAGCTTCTTTCTATCTGGAATATGTATCGCTGCCACTGTCTCCATGCTCCCTCCAGTGTCCTGAGCTCTGATTGGTGCTTGTGTTGTGTTCAGCTGTACCCACTGACAGCCAGGTGGAGCAGCTGAAGACCCTGATGGAGTCTCTGCCAGAGGAGAACAATGTGTCACTGCGGTACCTCATCTCATTCCTGGCCCAGGTACAGCTGATGGAACACACCTACTGTATTTCAGAATATCAGCAGCTGGTCTGTAATCACCAGTAATGTGTGTGTGTGTGTGTGTGTGTGTGTGTACAGGTGTCAGCCAACAGTGAGGTGAACAAGATGACCAACAGTAACCTGGCTGTGGTGTTTGGGCCTAACCTGCTCTGGGGGCGGGACAACGCTATGTCACTCAGTGCCATTGGGCCAATCAACAACTTCACCAGAATCCTGCTGGACCAACAGCACCTGGTCTTCACCTAAACCCCTCCCCCCACCCCCCTCCACCTTCCATCCTGCAGGCTCTCTTCCAGTCAGTCCATCAAAACAGTAGACACTCTGAAAATTCATTCTGCTCACACCATTCTCTACATTCTGATTAGCATTGTCTTTATACATAGAGCCTCCATTTCGATGTGACTCGAGGCACCAACATGGATATAGGAGAAATATTAGACTGCAGGCAAATAACTCTTACAATAAACGTGTTATAGCACACACTTCAACTGGCTCACTTTGGTATGACAGGAATTTGGAGACGCTGATTCAACTTCAAAGTGGCGAGTCGTATATTCTGCTTCTGCTGTCTGTCATTCCGCCTCATGAAGTAACAGTAATCATGAACAAACCAAAAACAAGATTATATAGATATACAGAAATAACCACTTTGAATAAACTCACAGCAGATATTAACAGGCGATATCCTTCATTTTGGTCACGAATAGAAAAGAGAGAAATATCTCCAAAACATTTCACATGTATCCTCCTCCCTAGATGAAAATGAAAATACAATTCAGGCTAGCACACTTTTAAGTGTTGTACCAGGATCAGTTTATCTTCCTTGGCTTAAATCAAGTAAAAAATATTGGTTGTGTTCCAGTGTGAATGCATGGTGAGTCTCACACACCTACAGCTCTGTCCTCCAGCCCTCCCAACCAACCTACATGTTTGTGTTTATAATGTATTTAGGGGTCTCTGGCCCGCCCGATCATGTTTAACTTCTATACACAGATGAATAGCAGTTGGACACCTGTAGTCAGGGCGATACATCCTCATGTTTAGGTGCAGACTCAGAAAACCAAACGGCCTCTCTGTTATGATGCCACACTTAAAGATTACGGAGGTGCGTGAACGTCTCAGGTTAATTTAAATTCTGACTTTTTTCTAAAAATTCTGAGATTAAAGTCAGAATTTTGGTCACATCCCAAATGTTTTTTTCCCGTAGAACTGCATATTCCTTTACACAATTTTTTATTTACAAAAACATTATTCTCAGCAAAGACAAGAGATGCAATATGCCAGATTATAGCTAATAGCTAATTTCCATCTGTGGTCCTCAGACAGGTTCATAACAATCAATACAAATAATAACATTTCATGATCTCTATCAGTCAAACAATTTTAAAACATGATTTAAGTACTGCTCAATAAATTAATACATAGTACACTTACATGATCTCGGTCACTCAAATAATTAAAAAGCCTGATTTAAATACAGGTTACGAACATAATACTTAGTACACTTCAAATACACTTAAATAAAATAAAATATCTAAGATATGACAATACAGTTCAAATAAAAAAACAAAAAAAAACTCAGATTACAGTGTAATTAATGTTGGCATGACTGGTTGCTCAATATCAATATCATTTGACGCCCGGTTGACTTTTGGTTAATGCTTATGCCGCTGATGAAGTTAGTTTAAGCTGTATAAGGGTATCTGGTCATAATGGTCTCTTAGTCATGGGTAAACCACAACAAGACGTGCACTTAAATAACACACACATGCACTTTTTTATATAACCGCAAATGCTTGATAGGGATTTTTTTGCTGCCACAGTATGGGGGCTATTTTTAAGTATTGTTCATACATTATCCCCTCAGACCTGTGATAAGGTGTTTTCTGAAATGACCAGACTAAATACATTATTAAGTATTACATTGATATTAGCCATAAGCTCAGCTGTAACAGTCTCCTAAATACAGATTATATATATTATATCATATATAATACACATTTGATTAATTAGAGAGCCACCATCAGGTTATTGGAGCATGACAGAAAGCAGTTCTTTAGGACTTTAATCACAAAGTTTAAGACTTGACCGATCAGACCGAGAAGTGTGACGTCAAACTCAAACCCAAGGGGCCAAAACTCTTTGCCTTGCAGCCTTTGCTTACTGGGTGTCATTACTGCACTAGTGTGTGTTAATGTAGCTTAAGGTAGTGATTCCAAACGCTCCATGTTCACTTGTTTCTAACAATAATTTCATTAGGTGTAATTCCCTACCAAAAAGTGTTCCTGCAGTTGTTGTGAGTGGTGCCTCTTCATTCCGTTCCCAAAGCCTTAAATCAAATAGCTCCTTTTCTGCCACCTGTCTCCAATCCCAGCTCATCTAAAGCATTGCGTTCCATGTCAAATAAAAACATGTATTCCTGAGTTAGTGTTCTTTTGAACTATAGTTGTATAGTGTTATGCTGTATATGACCTTATCTGAAAACAGTTAGTTGTTTGACCTCTGTGATCAGTGGTCTCCTTTCCTGTAGTTGTGCTCTTAATGTTAAGTCTCTTGGCCAAACTGTGCAGTCGTGTCTGTTTGTCAATAGCCAAAATACTAGCCTTGGGTTAATATAAGTATTGTATTTTTTTATTAATATGATGTGACTGAAAAGCACCAAGATATCAAGAGATTAAGTTGACTGAAGCTGAAAAACAATCTTTAATGTTGTAACTCCCAGTCCTGTCATGCATATGGGTGCGTGTTGATGCTAACTCAGCTGGACACTGGACAGTTGAGTAGCAAAAATGTTGGGGTTTAAATATTAAGTGTAGTAGAATAACTCCTATCAGTGTGCGTGTGTATTATTGTTGTCAAGTGCAATGGTATCTCCAATCTTGGTGATGTTCATTATTTGATATGATGGGGAAATTTGTACAGCTTATTGTAAAGAAACAAAAATGATATGAACGTTTTTCATATCATCTCAGAGGTACAAGTTTGTCTTTGATAACAGAAAATGTATATGTGTGTGTGACCATGTGCATGCCCTTGCCTTATTTGTTCCACCCAAGTGATCATGTGGATTAGCCATTGAAGTGCCAGTGTGCCGTTCTGCCATAGATTCTAACATGGGCTCAACAGAGCTTTGTGCATTTTTCTGTACTTACATTTGCTGTTTTGAGCACATACGTGTGTCCCAATAGTATAGCAAAATGTGTACCTGGTACACCCAAAAAGTTGATACTAGATACTGTGCGGTTGCTATGGTAAAAAAACAGCACTACGAATAAAAGTGCTACACATTGTTATTTTTCCTAAGTAACGTACCACTATAATGGTGTCAAAAAGAAGCAAGAATTCATTGTATTGGGCTAATTGAGCAGTCTGGAATGATTTGGTACTATGTTGTTGCTCTAGACTAGAGCTAGCTAGCTAACGGCTAATAGTCACCCCACGGCATTTGACATGTGCAATTTGAGAAAATGCTACATGGTGGGAATTCATGTTCACAGTGCGTGACATACAGTGTATAGACACAACGTTGGTGTTGGTTTGTTGACAGCATCAACAACAGGACTGAGGTGCCTTGAACAGAAAACCCAGAGAGGACAATGGAGACTCCAAGGCTTCTTGAACCCAGCTCTAATGTGTCGCATGATCGCAAATCATTTCTGGTATTACTTAATAATTGTACAATTTCAATGCGGATTATTAATTTTTTTACCCTGATTTATCTCTCATAGCATGGCCCTACTGCTCCCAAAGCGCACCTTATCATTTATTTGGCTTTCAGTCTTCGATCCTAGAATTCCTGCAATATCTAGTCAACCAAATAATACATTATAATTCATGAACATTTTCAAATTATCATTTTGGATGACTTTTTATTTGATATGATGTTGCACAACCTATTCCTCAACTTTCTGATCCGACTAGATTAAAGTTATTTTTTAATCGAACATTTGAATTGTACAATATCAACAAAGTACAATTGTACGATATCATTGGTTCTCGTCAACTCTGCTGATCAATAGCAGCGCATTCCAGTCTATTGATACCGTACCTGTCGTCATGGGCAACCTTACTATGATTAGGTTTCTGGGTGGATATATTGAGAGGTGCTCTTATTTTCTTAACCACTTTCATTCAGCAATTACTTTTGATATGTTGTGGATATTTGTTATATGTATTATAATGGTAAGAAAACTGTAATTTCAATGTGTGCAAAGAATAAACAAATGGTAAAAGCAAGCTCAGGTTTTTACTGTTGTTTTTAAATTGTAAAAAATAAACCAATTTTAAACATTTAACACAATAAATATATGTTTTTATACACACAGATACATTTCTTTTAATACATTGAAATGGTTATATTTTGGTTTATTTTTTCATTCATGCTATGCGATGAATTTTTGTCACTAAAAACTATTCAATTACATTTCAGGTTTTTTATAGAGTTTTGAATGTCTTTTTAAAGTATCACTTTGCTTTTTATATATTTTTTGTGATGTACTATACTATGATTAAATTCCTGATATTTTAACATTCTCATACCCTGAATTGTTGTGATATTTTCAACATGCTATAATAGGAATTTATCTATTATTTTGATCATATATTAATATATACTTTCGACATTTTAAACTGAATACCAGATTTTAATTAACTGTGATTCTCCCTCAGCTGCGGCGCCCTCTGCTGTCCACTCCGAAGAATCCAGATCTGGAGCATCCGGCCCAGGAACACAGCAGTTAGTTTGATGCAGGGTTATCACAGTGGAGTTAAGACTACAATTGAAATAAGCAATGTAAAAATATTCTTATTAACCCGTGTGTAGTCTTCCTATCAACTGTGCAACTTGTTCTCTATAGATTACAGTATACATAATCACCCAAACATGTGTTGCACCTTTAAGCCAATTATTCTGATTTATTACCATTTGTTTTACTCTTGATTTTGGAAATTTATGGTCAATAGACGTCCTTTACAGAATATTAAACCTAATTTCGGAGTTAAAAAAGGCGGAAATCTTGACTCAACTGCCATCTATCGAGACCCAACATTAATACGAGTGTTTTGGTTAATTTCCAGTAATCCCTGATGCAGGTACCGGAAGTCGGAGCAATATATATATTTATAATAATAAACTGAGATTGGTTAATGTCTAAAAGGACAATTATGTGTTTATCACAGTATTGTTATTTGGTGCTATAACAAGAATAATAGCCTAAAGTCTTCTGTGTAATATCTACCAGCTTGGCTTCCTCTGGACAGTTTGCTCCAGGTCGTTCAGGTTGCTGAAGGAACAAAGCCATTAGAAATGGAAAAGTATGCATGTTTTTCTTATGAATGCATACATTTCCGGTTAATTTGAATAGAAGTAAATGTCATCCTTCACACACAAGTGAGCATGAGCTGCAGCTTGAGAGCTTCCGGGGGTCAAAGGGCACAGGAAGGACTTCCAGATGACACCCTGCAGGCACTCTTTGACCTTCACTGTTTAAAATCAAGTATGTATTTTGTCTTCTCTCAGGAGGAAAAACAAAAGGAATCCTGAGCAGGGAGGCGATGGAAAGGGCAGGTCACACACACCGACAGACGGAAATATCACGTCTGGCCCCCGGCTCCTCTTCCTCCTCTTCCTCCTCCTCACAGCTTAGAGCGACTTTGTGATGAATCAGGGGAACAAGATCAATCGACTGTGGGGAAATCTTCACCATGTGACT